AGTTACAATATTGGGACGCTTTGTGCTACGTGGGTTTCCATTCTCTGAAAGTCAAGGGCCATAGATCTATTGGTTCCGAAGATACAGAGGAGAGTCTGTATGAATAGGGTTAAATATAATTCAAACGATATTAATGTTTAAACTTTAAAAAATGCCAAACTTTAGAACAATTCGTCAAAATTTAGAAAATTAAAACATCTTCAAATGTCGTACTGTATCATAATCATGTTGCAACGCTGTGCAAGAACTGAACACAACATAAAAGTCACAGTTCTTTAGAGAGCTGTCATAGTTTATTGCCTGAAGACTTAGATGCTATGTAAACTGTACTAAGACAACATGTAGTAAGTATGACATATGATCAATATTAGACCCATCTCAGTGTGAAATTTTATCTTCCGAGACAAGGTCTAACAGACTTCGTATCCAGGGGGCAATCGGTCAAGATCACTACTGAGTTCCCGTAAATGAGACGAAGGCTATCCTTATAAAGTACGGACGCGATATGATACATATTAACGAGTACAACGACATATTCAAACATGTAAATTCATTCGGTAGCTATCAGAAAAGAGTTGCATACGGGCTATGCCTGTTATACATCTGTTATGAACTGGTTTTTGGCCATCTCAAATTTGTTACAGGAACTCCCAAGTTTCAGTGCTCTACTCCTAATGTATCGTGTGGAGGTATCAATAAATGTTGTACAAATTGTACATCTTATGAATTCGATCCTTTGTTCACTACCGTCGTCTCCGAGGTAAGTCTGATCTTTTGTATTTTTCTGCTTTGTTTTTTTTTTTTTTTTCCTTTGCTTGTTTGTTTGTTTCTTTGTTTACCGGTTGTCTAGCTACAGCCATTTTATGTTKCAAACATGTTTTAGGTTTGCATGTTATTTTTGATCGAATTAATTCTTCTCAWTTTCTGTAAATTGCTAAGAGTAGTTTTCAGACTTAGAGAGCTTGCACTATGCCCGTGCAATAAAATCTCACTGGGTAAAAATTGYTTATATTTTAATTAAAGGGTTTTCTAACTCATAAACCAAAGTTCAATCCAGAAATCAATCCTCAAAATTTGATTTTCGTAAACACGATTATTTAACGTATAAAATTGACGTAAGTAAATTCAAAACTATGTAAAATATAGTAAAATTAGCAATTGATACTCAATGTGACGTAATCCTTTGTTATATATGTGCCAATGACAAGACGATTGGATGTTAGAAAAGCGACTTGTGAAAAGCCATTCTGATCATGGTTGGGACATTAACAWAAGAATGAGTTTGTTGATAAACATTAAGTATCGTTATTTTAATAAACGCATTGAAAAAATATATGTTACTGATGAATATTGAATCTGCTCTTGATAACAGGAAATAGACATCAGAGCTCAGAGTCAAACACGTCATTATGAATATGAATATGAGGACCGCATATGGCAATATGATAGAACAGAAATAGAAATGAAAGAAAGTTATAATGCTTACAAGGAGGCAATTCCGGGAGAAAGAACCTTAGGAATAGATTCGGAAAAATTAATTTCCAACCTCGCTGGGATTCGAACCCACGACCTTCGGATTTGTACTAGCGGAATTGCCTCCTTCTAAGCACTATAACTTTCTTTCATTTCTATATCACATCGTTATGAAGCCACACTGCTAGGTCACACTAGCTTGACCATAGAAGCTTGCGTGCCTCGTGAGACGATCACATGACTAATCTGTTTTGTCTTGCTTTTAGAATAACTCAGTCTCGAATCATATCGTACATAAAATACATGCTTAAACATKAGCTAATAATTTTGGAGGGAAGGCAACAATTGCTTTGCAATCAAATACAAAAAATGTGCGTTTGGAATTTGTGCCTATTAACATATATTATAATTTATTTTTTATTGGTAAATTTGAATTTTCAGTCCTTTTATGAGGTGATATCGATTGCAATGTCCAGCGACGCCATTTTGTGCAGCAAAGCATGATGGTAGTTGTAGTCCTCTTATACTTATTATCGACCCTAAAACGTCTCCCTAAAAGGARTTTTTCTGATTTCTTTGTAGAAAGGGTATAATTTCTTCTTATTTTACTCAGAAAAAAACTGCTAATGAGGACTGTTGTAGCGGACATAAAATAGTATAAGGACTACAACTGCCATCATAAATATAGTGGTGTCGGTGATGCACATTGCATATTGAAAGGTTAGACAGATTGATTTTGGTCTATTCTTTCAATTTACCAATAATAAATGAAAACGTCCAGAGCTTGGGCAGTTCTCACTTTTTATGAAAATCTAAAAATCGATTTTGATCCTTCAAAACGATTAACACAGTAAAAAAAACTAAAAATCGATGCGCCTTCGACGCTTGTCAATGACTTGATAAAAAATATTTGCTGAAAATCAGGTGTAGGTAAACGTGCAGAATCACTCAAATTCTTCAAAGTTTTTGGTGAATGCCAATCAACGTGTATCCATATGGCTTTATTCGTATTTGTTTTGATTTCTACCATATTTTTTGTCATTTCTTTCAAGTGAGCCTTGCGCAATAATGCATGTGATGATGTCTGTTCTGTTACTTACCCATGGAACCAGCCAATCAGCGCAAAAAAAATCACAAATGTGCTAATATGTGGAGGGTTATTATTTTTTTTATCCTATTCAAGGGAGTACCACATTTTTTCTTTAATACTTTGAATTATTTTGCAGTGGAGTTTAATTTGTGATCGTTCGTATCTGGTAGCCATTATCCAGTCCATGTTCTTTGTCGGTATGGTGGTAGGYTCTTTCCTCTCTGGTATTTTATCTGATGCGTTTGGACGCAAAACAGTTCTTTTTGCATCTTTGGGATCAATGGTAAATGCGTCTGTCAGTTCTTTTCTAGTTGAAATTAACTTTTTTAGGGAATTTCAAAAGCGCACCCATTCAACAAAATCTATCGTTTACAAGGTTCCAGTGACAAGAAAATGATAAGGCCTCAATCTCTTAGGWGACCTTCCTTCCCCGCGAATCCCAGAGCGTTTAATTTCCAATTTACATATGACGAATTCTTTGAAATATTTTCAGGCTGTCAGTGGCGTTGCACAGTCTTTTGTAAAGTCTTCTATTGTTTTGTTTACGTTTCTTCGTTTTGTTWCCGGGGCATTCTTGGTCAGTGCTATCTTATCACCGTACATTCTAATGATGGAGGTGATCGGTCCAGGTTACCGCGCAAGAATTGGCAATGTTATTCTTTATTTTTGGGCAGCTGGTGATCTCGCACAGGTCTTGTTAGGGTTTTTAATACGAGACTGGAGGACTTATGTCTGGGTGTCCTGTGTTCCTTCCTTTTTGCTGTATTTCTTTTGGCGGTAAGTCAGTCCCAAGTCTCAGTTTTCAAAATATAAACTAAAAAGGATGATATAAATTGCAGACATATACAAGTATCCTACCGCGTTCATTAATTGATWTTTACGTATTATATTACCTCTACTAAACAAAATGCTCTATTAATTGTCAATATATTCAAAGTATGAAATGCTCATAAAATAAGTTCAAGCAATACTTTAGACGCGACAAAAAAAGTTTTCTTTAACGTGCCTAATCTCATGCATAGGTCATTGCCAGAGTCCCCTCGTTGGCTTGTTGTCAAAGGCAAATTAAAACAAGCCCACRAGATCATCMTRAAGTACGGTGGAAAAGACAAMAARCTCTGTGATCCTGAGSAGGTGATGACCATGCTAAAGTCCATTCACCAGSATCAAATTCAACGAAGTTCAAAGAGATATACACCATTAGATCTTGTTCGTACTCCAAAGCTGAGAAAATGGACCA